CTGGACACTATAAAAATCAAAAGTGGTTCTTTAAGAGACCAGCTTGACCCTCCTTAACCAGAAAATAACATCTGACCCGGCAGTGAAATTTATCACAACATTTCAATTAAAACTTGGCAGGCACACTGGCAGCACGCTGTTCCTCCACAGTTGGCCTTGTTAGAGGAAAACAAAGAAGGGAAAAACAGATATTCTTCCCCATATTCCTAACAAAGGTGATCTGCACAGTGACATTCCCTCAGCCACATGAAGGTTTCTAGACGCTCGATTAATATGCTATGTGTGGATAACATGCAATTTTTCATCAATTATTTTCTGTCCAGTTCTCTCAGAGGTCTGCTTCTTTAGGATAACATAAAGCAGCCTGTCAATTACCAGTTAAACAATCATCTGATTTCTTCAGTCATTTATGTATTCATATTCTGGATTGCAAGTAATTCAATTTATCATATGGTTTTGCTCCCACTTCGACCAAAGAGAAGTGCACCGGAAATCAAGAGAAAATGTATTTGACACAGGCCCGTCCTCTTGGATGTGTGTGTGACCCCGTATAAAGGATCACGTTTAAAGGTGAGTTCTTAATCTCAATGACATGCACTATCTCAGCAGTTCTCACAATGGAAGTGCTAGGCACATGTGCCCAGCTTAGCTCAATGGCATCATATGTTTGACAGCAAGGGGCCTTGATAAAGGTTTGAAAAAGCTAAATCACATACAGTTTTAATTTTCTTGGGTTCTTTAATTGCATATGTGTTTTATTTGTGCAACAAATGAGCCCTAGGGGACAGGGATGTTGCCTTCTCCTTTGGTAGCAGCTAACTACTGACCCATCAATGGTAACTCATTGTAAAACAAGATGGCAGAAATAGATAATTATAAAGACCTCCTTTTTGCTATCATTACAATCTTTAAACCTTTCAGCTATAAAACAATAATGTAATCCAACTATATTGGAGTCAGAAGAGAGCTTAGGGTTTTCTGATTTTCCGGATACAGGAACATTTGCATGTATAGGTCTTGGGAATTCTTCCGAAAGAAGGTACCTTGCCCAAGTAGCCCTATTGTGGTAACATTTTTATTTTCAATCATGTTAGAACTAATCGTGCTAATTTAATCATCACAGGGTCTTGAGTACAGACCTGAGATGGACAGCATGCCTGGATAAGGGCCAAACAACAACTCAGCTCACTGCTCACAGGCAAGTTTTGCAAGAAATCAAACAGAGGAAGTGATGGGGAGATTCAAGCACCACGTGACTCACTGGAAAACAGTCTCCCAAAGTGAAAGAAACTTCAAGAATAACATGCTTTTTGCACGTTGTGATTTGGCTTCAACAAAACATCGTCAATTATTGCATGTATGTTGCACTTCAGTTTCATTAGAATGTGGACCTTATTTTTAACTTATAGCTTCATTTTGTATAACAAAAGCTGATTTCTGGTAAGAAGGATGCCAATTTAGGGGGTCAGGCCAGCGATGGAAATGCTGCAGAAGTGTATGTTCAAGTCAGAAGGAGCTGTTTGATGAAGACTCGAGAAAGGCTAGAATGTAGGATAGTTCTTACAGACCAAGTAGCTGGTCAGAGATAAGAAAGCTGCCTCCGCAGTGTGATGACGGTTTCGGCAACGTCCTCTGCAACATGTGTTCCACACCTTTATTTTGGTTCCAGATTATTCCAAGACTTAAAACAGAATGGTACATGAACTTTCCCCCCTATTTCATTGAAATATAACTGACATAACATGGTGCTAGTTTTGGGTGTGCAACACAATGCTCTCATGGCTACATGCTCTTTTCCTTGTGATGAGAACTTTTAAGATCTATTCTGCTAGGAACACTCTAATATACATACATCACGATGAACCACGTTCCCCATGCTATGCCTCACCCCCCCAGAACTTGTCTGTTATAACTGGGAGTATATACATGTTTTGCCACCGTCTCCAGTTTTGCCCAGCCCGCATCTGTTTATTTACCCCTACTTCCCGCCCATGCTCACCTGTCAATGTTCGCATTCTTAACGCAGAACTTGCGGAGGAAGCAGCGTTGGTGACGGTCTTCAGCTGCCATGATTTTTTTAGGAATTAAGGGGGTCAACCGAGACCACACTTACCCTGTGCCACCCTCACCCAGTGACTGAGCCCAGTAGAAAGTACCAGAACCCGCATTCCCGCTCTACCTGCGATGCTGCCCGTGGGCAAGTGTGGAGCATTGAGCTAAGCCACTCAAGGTATTGCTGCCTGGGCACCATTTTTTTGGTCTGCGGTGACTTTAAACTCAGAGCGGCCCCCATGCAGGCATGTGCCCTAAAGAGCAGTCCACAGAGTCACAAGCAAATGTAAGATCCTGATATGACTTCCCCAGTAGCCCTATAATCAACAGATTCCCCTGGCTCCCCTGGCCTTCCGCTGACGTGTCCCTCACGTAGGACCGGAGCTTACCCAACCCCAGTGTTTCTGACTGAATGGACCCACCTGCCTCAGCCTGGGAACTCCCGAGCACTCCACCTGTGGACCCCAATGAAGCAAGCACCCAGCCCCTTGGGGTATCTGCGCTCGGCCTTGACCTCCCAAGTAGCCCCTTAAGGGGTAGTACTTTTTCCAGAACTCGTGAGTAGTACACCTATCTACTTCAATTTCTCAGATGGCCTGTTGCTGAAATTGGTTCACCGTCAGGTGCCCTGTGCTCTACCGAATGAGGGTCACGGTGACAAATTCATAACATGAGGCTTGATGGGTGCTGGCCCAGCCTTTCCCAGACTGGGTGTGGACTGGGCCCTTCACACACAGCCCTTCCTTCCGTGGGTGGTCTCCTCGAAGGGCCAGACGGCATTCTTCCGTCCGGTCCTCTCCTCTTGCACTTCCCGGCCATCCCCTCAACACATCACGTGCAAGTCTAACCCCACCTCGGGCTCTGCTCAGAGGACAGGAGCTGAGAGCGTGGCCGCCAGTTTCCAAGCTCCGTAGTCCCCACGTTTCCTGCAGACAGTGAAGTCACACCTTCACTTCTCATCAGAGCCCCATGGTTTTTAGATCTTTATGCCACTTGTACTTAGATTACTCCTTCTGTTTAACCCTCACACAAATAAAAACATAATTCACCGATTCACAAGCCGCCACGCTAGAAGCCCTTTCTCTCTCTTTGCTTCCCTAGCTCAATATGAATTAGGAGCAGATTCTAAGCAACTGGAAATCACATGCACAGTTTTGCAAAAATCAAAAAAAATTTAGAATTGTGAAGTTTGTGACATAAGATACAATCCTTAAATCTCTGAATATCAATGCAAATCTTAAAAATGATGATATTGCTTAATACTACATAGTGATTACTCTGTACTTATTTCCATAATCTACCTGAAGTAATTGATTTTTGCCATAGTTATAAAGTAATTACAGGTTTATTCTACAAAATGACTATTCTTTGTCATCACCGGAGGGGGATTTCTTGCTTAGAAACGCTTCTGATATTTTTCTTTATGATTGTTTATTGGGAAAATCTCTCTGCCAGCCACCAATTCCAGCATGTCATAATTTCAAGAGTTTCATCTAAAGGTTGATGAGACTTGGGGACTCAACAGGGTTGAGTCACACATGTAGTCAGTCACCTTTGGGAATGGCTGAAGGCATTTCCCCAAACCTGAATAGGATGCATTAAATTGATTGCGGCTGCCAGACAGCTAAAAGGCATCTTAATCTACATGTTATTGCCTCCTACTGGCCAAACACCTGAACGGCCGTAGGCTAATTCCCCCGTTCTGACAATGCTTGTGTACACCCTTTGAAGTGAGTGTCTCTGCCTCGCCTCAGGACAAGTTGTGTTAATAAAAAGCATGGGGTCCTGGGGACGGGGAGAACCTAAGACCTTAGACTTAAGATCTTGGGTCTTAGCTCCTTTAGCTAAGCTCCTCGGACCCCAATGCCTTTCAAAATTGTATCTCATCTCCGGACTCTTTATTAGTCCCTGGACTGCTATTTAACATCTACACACAGTCTACTCCGGATCCTGAACTCTTCTTGTTGAAAATAATGTCATTCAGACTATGTCTGTGAGCTTCTGCAGTGCCACATGGTGGCCAAATATAAGGTATTGTGGGTACAATTCTAGCATTCTTTTGTTAATCCTCACCCAAGGATATTTTTTCCATTGACTTTTAGGGAGAATGGGAGAGAGAGAGAAAGAGAGAGAGAAACATCAATGTGAGAAAAACACATTGATTAGTTGCCTCCTGAATGTGCCCACGTCACGGCCCGGGCCGGGGAGGAGCCTGCAACCAAGGTATCATCTCCGGACTCTTTATTAGTCCCTGGACTGCTATTTAACATCTACACACAGTCTACTCCGGATCCTGAACTCTTCCTGATGATGGGACAAGAGCACCAACAATCTCTCTCTATACTTGTTGAAAATAATGTCATTCAGACTGTGTCTGTGAGCTTCTGCAGTGCCACATGGTGGCCTGCAACCAAGGTACATGCCCTTGACCGGAATCGAACCCGGAACCCTTTGCTCTGTAGGCCAACACTCTATCTACTGAGCAAAACTGGCTAGAGCTATAGTGTTTTGAAAGACATTTTATTATTTGAGACAAATCCTTTCTTAATTAAATCATGACTTGAGATAGTCAACTACTGATTGTCCATGAGCTGAGTTTTTTAAGGAAAAAAGAGTAAAGAAACAGAGTAAAAAAGTGTTTCAATAAATGATGGCCAAAATTTTCTCAAATTAGATGAAAATACCGGCTTACAAATTCAAGACCTCAGCAAACCCCCAAAAGGTTATGAATATATATATATATGAATACATGTTTACGTAAGTAATGTGTACTGCATATAGGTTAAAACAAGCTCTTATAGCATCTAAAACAGATACTAAAAGCCCTGCTGACGTGCTGGTGGCCATGAAGCAGTGGTTTAGGTTAACAGTGGTAATATCATCTTTCATAGTCACCCTGTACAAGTAAGGTTCATGAGGGCAGGGACTTTGTCTTCTACACTCAGTTCTGGAAGGAGACCTGGTATTTAGGCAATAATATAAATTAATAAGTACATCAACTCTAGTGAATGCCCCCAAATATCTCACAAAACACCACACATACTAAGCAATATAAATACATTAAGCATAATAAATTATATAGAATATAGCAGAAAATATCAGTTGGTTGGATTGTTAAGCAAAATGATTGCCCTCACGAAATAAGTGTTTAGAAAAGTACTTTGTACCAGAGTATCTGATCTCCCTCACGGCTCCCGCCTTCTCCCCTTCTCCCACCTGATCCCAGTCCTTGGAGGACCAAGAAAGAAGTGACCTAGCGGACCTCTAAGACTAGATAACAATCACTTTCCCTGTAGCAAAATGATTGCCCTCATGAAATAAAACTGTTTAGAAAAGTACTTTGTACCCGAGTATCTGATCTCCCTCAGGGCTCCCGACTTCTCCCCTTCTCCCACCTGATCCCAGTCCTTGGAGGACCAAGAAAGAAGTGACCTAGCGGACCTCTAAGACTAGATAACAATCACTTTCCCTGTCATATTTTTTAAAAATTCTCTCTTCACATGCCAGACTAACCTTTTCGTGGACATAGAAATGAATCTCATAAAAATTAAATGACTCTTCATAGACTGTGGGAGGGCTTTCAGTCCTCACTGACTCTATTCCGTCTCCCGATGTCCGTTTTCCGGGAGGACTCATCCCTCACCTTTCAGCACACGCCCGGCATCCACAGGGTGCCTCGGCCTCTGTCACAGCTGGTGCCCCATGGAGCCATTAATGTCTTTTGAATTCAGGTTCCCTTTGTGGCACCAGCAGGACAGGCATCAATGTGTTGGAAGAAGCAATGTTCCCGGTTTTAATATGCTACCTGGATTCATGATCAGGGCCATGATCAAGATCAAACCTATCCCCTTGGGGAAGCCACCTAGAAAGATGATCTGGAGTTCTTTCAAATGCAAAAATCTAAGCAACATTTGAAAATCATGAACACCCACTCCAGGACTGATACTGCCTCAGGGCACTCTAATTTCCCTGCGAAGTCCAAGTGTTGTAACAATTACGGCCCATTATGTTGTCAAAGAGAGACCTGGATGCGGTAACTCTTTCCAGCCCAAGGCAGACGGTGTTGTCGCCAACAGGCTTTTCAACAGCGGTGACAACCAGCCTGCAGAAGTGCGGATTTCACCGCAGCACCGGCTTCATTCTGTCTCCCTTCCTGACGCACTGGCTTGGCCAAGGTCACACATACACCCCTGCTCCTGTTCATCCTTGAAGAGTTCTTCGACCTTTTGGTTCTCAGTATAATAAACATGATTTTCTAATGATTATATTCTTCATATTCCATCTGGCTTTCATCTCGCGCAGTATATGAAGGGAAGGGAGAAGGCAGTGCAAATGGAACCTACTGCTTTCAACATAGTCTCTATGGAGGGAGCAGGAGGTCTCTCACTGACAATTCTCCATGCCCTTGGCTGTGGACCATGCCCTTGGCTGTGGACCGTGCCCTGGCCTGGCCTCCCAGGTGGCCGTGTGTGTGCAGGGTGACTTGTGTCCTGCTCCTCTCCTACACCCTGGTCGGGCAGACACCAGTGACTCTGCACAACAACCACCCATCCTGTGCTTCTGATCAAAGCGGAACATGCATCCTGCTTGAGACATACAACTGAAATGATCGGTTACTACTCAGATATGCCAGGCAAGAATTTAAGATTGTAAATTAAACTTACAGGTAAACACTGCTTTGTTGATAACTGTATTCCTCTTCTCCAATTTCAAAATAAAATACCAAAGAAGTTTAAGAGAAGTGAGCCAAAATTTTTTAGGTAGAGAAGTAAAAATAAATAAGTAAATAAAAGAATCGGTAAGATGTTTAGATTCTTTGGATTAGAATGCAGTCTACTTGCTCCCAATCCTAAGGGGGCACTCAGTGAAGAAAGGAAAAGGATGAGTGGCCCCTCACTCACCGCTACAAATATCTTACGTCTGGGGATCTAAAAAGGACTCCTGAGTTGTGTTAATTGAGATTTGAGGAAATGTATAAAAAGATAGCTACAGCCCTTCAAATGGAATCAGCCCCCAATCACCATCCTTCTCCCTAGAACTATAATCACACTGGGTTCTGGCCGTCGCTATGACCTGGTGAAGTTACTGAGGGGAGGAGAAGGGAAGCCGCTGCGCTGGGCACATGGCTTTTTAACGGGAAAATGTCATGTTGTACGAGCTCTTCGGCGGACATGCAGGAGGCACAAACTTTTCCCTGAAATTCGTCTTGCCTGACTAGTCAGAGCAACCACTTTATGAGCAATGCACATGCATGTGCGTATATTTGGTTGGTAATACATATTCCTATATAGGCACACACATATACACGCACATATATATTTAATCCATTTTGATTTAGACTTGAAAATAGCAGTGCTTTTTGTTTTAAAAGGGGGGGGCTAAGATGAATTTAGGGATAAAGGGGGAATAAATCGGTTAACTGAATAATACGCGAGCACAAATGAGAGAAATGCTCAAGGTGCAGCCAAAGCCTTCTGTCGGCAAAGACTGACACTCTGACCACGCGGAATTTTCTCTTCCTTTAAGAATTTATACGGCTGCCCTAGCCAGTTGGGCTCAGTGGATAGAGCAGTTCTCTTCCTGCTTTAAGAATGTATACGGCTGCTCAGTGGATAGAGCATCAGCCTGCGGACTGAAGAGTCCTAGGTTTGATTCCGGGCAAGGGCACATGGTCGGGTTGTGGGCTTGGCCCTAAGTGGGGGGGCATGCAGGAGGCAGCCGATCAATGATTCTCTCTCATCATTGATGTTTCTCTCTCTCTCTCTTCATCTCCCTTCCTCTCTGAAATCAATAAAAATATATGT